CATTTTTATTCAGTTTCCTTTTCTATTCAATTTCATTTTTTATTTAATTTCCAAATATATCGTTAAGGAATAGTGGTTTCTTGAATTTATGCTTCCTGCTCTGACTGGAAGAATTATTTTGCCGACGGGCCATTCTGGCATGGAGTTGAATCCAATTAGGGGAGATACGGCAGGCGCCAAGTCTTTGTCTTGCAGCTTCAATTGTTTAAATGTTTCGTAGTACATGATTTCACATGAACTACCCTGGTCAATCAGAATCCGCTTGACGTCAAAATCCTTGACTCGGAGAGTGACGACTAGGGCATCATTGTGAGGACAGTATATTCGATCCAAGTCTTTATCCGAAAAAGACATGACGTTTGTTGCCTCTGTTTTCCCCTTCTTGATGGCAAGTTGGGCATTTAGCAGCTCTCTAAAGTGCTTAGCCTTTTTGATTGATCCCCTGAGCTCGCATACACGCTCAGGTTCAAAGACTCCATGTATCACATTGATAACGCCTTGAGGTGAGGCGTCAATCGACATTCCGTTGGGGTGGTTATGGTCCTAGGGGGCCGGTTGGGCCCCTCCTTCGATGTACTTATCCAGGTGACCTGCTGCCACCAATTCTTCCAAGTGCTGTCTCAATGGCGTGCAATTTTCAGTGCGGTGCCCCTTTTCTTTGTGGAATGTGCACCGTGATCTTTCGTCGTAGTCCTTCTGAGCTTCTCCTAGCTTGGCTGGCCACTTGACGAAAGGCTCATCTCTTATTTCACTTAGAATTCAATAGATCGGTTTCTTGAAGACCGTGGTTATGGCCGTGCGAACCCTCAACCATCTTTTATCTAGGTCCTCTCCATTGTCACGCCTGCCACGTTCGTTTCTGTTCTGACGATCTTTTGCATTGACCTTTGCTGAGGTTTTCTTTTCTGGTACTGCAGTCGCCCCAGATTTTGCTTTGGCACGTGCGCCATCCTCTTCTACCCTGATGTGCTGATGCACTCTTTCGATCAAGGCTTCCATGGTGAGGGGTGGCGTCATGGTGATCGAGTCCCTTAGTCTATTCCCGACTGGAAGGCCTCTTTTATATTGTGCAATGGCGAGATTGGTGGGGCAGTCCCCAATCTGATTGAATGTCTCCCAGTAGCGACTATTGTAGGATCTTAGGGTCTCTTTATCGCCCATGTCGATGGAGAGTAGCTGGTCGATCTCCACCGGGGTTTTAGTGTTTGTTCGGAACCGTGTTACGAACGCCTCTGCCAATTGCGCCCACGAGGCTATGCTGCCCTCTGGAAGTTTCTCGAACCAAGTCAAGCCTAGGTCGCCAAGGCTAAATGGGAAGAGTATGCACATTAAGGCCTCGTTTTGCCTGTATACAGCCATGACTTGGCAAAAGTGGCGAAAGTGTGAGTAGGGGTCTGTCTTCCCTTCATATGTAGTGAATTTGGGCTAAAGGAAGCCTGTTGGTAGGGGCGCGTTTTCAATTGCCGGAACAAACGGCGAAGTCTGCAGCCTTGCTAGTGCTTTGTCCGTTGGTTCGTAGGCAAGGCGCGGTATTGGCATTCCGACCTCAACGCTTCCATGCGTCCAAGGAGCCAACCTCTGTAAGGCAGAAACTCTGTGTGGATCCCGTGTCCTGGCATCCTCTTTGCATCGTGCCTTTTCTTCGAGCACGGTTCGTAAGTCGGATGATCTGGGTAACTCCGTCTGTCTAGATCTGGTTTGGTGCGTATGTGAGGGCCAATACGCGCTTCCTTCAGTGTATGATCTTTCAGATCTCGTCCTCTCAGACCTGGAGTGACGAGTTCTGGAAGACCTGGATTGAGTATCCCTGTCCTGAGGCTTCTGCTTTCTCCTTGCGAGGGTGTGGTATTCCTACTACGACTTTCTGAGTGGCGAGGGGGCGTCTTGTTTTTGCACCCCTCTCCTGTCGCCACTTCTTTTCTCTTCATCTGGCGCTTCAAGGCCTCCATGTCCGTTGCCATCTTCCTTATTAATTCATCTTGCTCCTTCACGCGGTCTTCCAGAGTTTGAGGATCAATCCTCCACCTTTGCCTGTCAGGACTTTGTGAACGAGAGTGACGGGGGCTGTGAGTCCGCCTCCCCCTAGTATCTCTCCTGGAGTTTTGTCATTGGGGCTCCAAGTCCGCCATGGGAGGGATGGGAGGTAATCCTTCACGCCTTGTGCCCCCATCTGGAGTTTGTCCGTCGATGGCGGACTGTGGCAATTCTTCAATGTGCGCCATTGTTTCTGAAGAGGAGAAGCTTAATCAAGAGGTTTTGTCCTGTCTGTTTTTCCCACAGACGGCGCCAATTGTACGGGAAAGAAATAAACTTTCTCATATAATCCTGTTGATCAAGTCTACGCTCCTCTGTACGTCGTCGCTTTGTCAACTGAAAACACAAACGTGAGCTAGCCGGCGGGTATGTGCCGGAAACCTCTCTGATGCCTAAGTCAGTAAGCTTGACAATTAGACAAAAGCTCTGTGTATTCAGAAAGCAAAGTTGTGTGTGTTACCTCCCCAAAGGTGATGTCTGTCAGCTTTTATAGGTTTCGTGTGACACAATTCTAGTAGGACTTCTACTTCTCCATGCAGAGTCCTCCTAGGATTCATACTCCTGAAAAATAATGCTTATCCTTCAACACCCCCCTCACTGTTTAAACCAAGTGAGATGGTTTTATCATGGCCGAACTCCAATACGACCGAAGTAAACATGACTATGCATAGCCGCAGGATAAGCCGAACTAACTCTTCCTTTTACTGCTCTTACGTCGGCTTCTCATGCACAGCCCATGGCGTGGTTAGACCGAACTAACATGTTATGACCGGTGTAACTCCAAGACCGGTCTAACTCCGAAGTACCGTTAGACCGATCTAACTTCGATCTTCTGTTGGACCGGACTAGCTTTACGGCTTAGGACCGGACCAACTTCAAAATATCCACACGACCGGAGTAACTTTACATGGCCATTTTACTCGGCCCTTTGTACTGCGGCTCATAGCGGCCCATTATCTAACTCGGCCCAATTTTCACATAAATTACCCTCTCACATATCATTTGCCATTTCAAAATGGATGCGAGGGCTATGGCCACCACCTCTTAGCCAACCTGCGTCTACCGTTGACTTATACTTCCTTTTGGAAAGTGATTTGTTTTAATAATTTAAAAAAGAAAAAATTATATTTATTTTTATCAAATTATTTTTTATCTTTAAACAAACAATTAAAAAATTATTTATGAAATGCAAACCAAATGTAACCGAAGTGTTTGATAATGATTTTTTTTTTTTTACTAGAAAAAATATAAAAAGTAATAAAATTTAAAAATGAATACTTGACTCTTTTTTTTTACTCTTGACTTTTTGGGTTTTTATTGTCAAACAAGGCCTAATTTTAAGCATTTTATGGATCTGAGATGACTAAATTATTTATAGATGATGTTTGACTATAATATTTGAACAATGTTATTCTGATGATTACTTTCTGATTAAGCTGCTTTGTATTAAAATTAGGAAGCGAAGTAATTAGATGTGACTGACCGTAAAATTCAGAAGCTACTACACGTGAGAGAAGCTGAGCACCAGACGAGCATGCGAATGGCATGGACACTGGATGATCCTCCTTTGTGACGCTCAATAAATACAAAAGGGTTTCCTTATGTCCACAATCAGCAGCCCAGTGAAGCGGCAACCAATTAAGATTGTCAGAAATATATAAGGAGGCAGGGTGTTTGTCCACCAGGATAGTCGCAGCCTTGGTGTTTCCAATTCCTGCAGCATTGTGAAGGGCAGTCATACCGTAAACGTTAGGCAGTTCCAACGCCTCTGCCGGCATCAAATCCACCAACTTCTTTACAAAATCTATTGACCTTGCACTTGAAACCGACACGTGGAGTGCCGTCTCCTCGTAATCAGTGATATTGGCAGTGAATGCAGCTTCATCTTGGTCAAAGATTCTTTTGGCGGAATCCCAGTCTCCCCTGAGTGCAGCATGGAGGAGTGGTATGTACCTCCATTTCTCATCCTTGTTCTCTGCAAATGCATCCATGCACCCATTGTCAAACAATATATATTAATCAGCAAAAATTAACGTTTCGTTTGGTTGGTGGATTTGAGAAGGAAAAAAAAGAAAATGTATGTAAAATATGAATAAAATATACATATATTTCATTTAATTTCACACGCTTTTCTCTTTCTCTTTTTAAATTCTTTTTTAAATCTTCCAACCAAATATAGCGTAAGTGACACCCCTCAATCTTGGAATTTTCTTTGAAGTGAATGCAGAAACTTGCTTAAAATTTATGCGATTTGACAATTGAATCCCGTGAAATTAGAACATTTCCAACTTTTTACTAATTTTCTATTTAATTTGATTCTAAATTTGAGTAAAAAGTTTAATTTGATATTAAATACTAACTTTTTCATCAATTTTTCATCTAAAACTTTTTTTTTAAAAATTCACTCTTATCCCAAATTTTTCTTTTCATCAAATTTGAAGAAAAAAATCCATTTACAATGCTTTATCTTTTCAAATCTTCATCAAATTATTTGATGAAAGAATTGATGAATTCTCAATTTGATGAAAAAATATTTCTCCCTTAATTTGATAAAAAATTGATAAAATAATTGGAGATAGTTTTTGAGCATTTGATGAAAAAAATGTTAAGAATTAGAGATGCTATTAGAGAAATAATAGATATTTACAATTCCTATTCTACCAATGACAACTACAATTGCGAAGAATATTTCATTGCTATACAGTATTTGAAAAACTGAATAAGAGATTTTTTTTCCTAAAATTCAAAGTGATGGTTGATCAAATTATTATTTGGATAATGTACGGGAAAGAAATAAACCTTCGCGTATAATCCTGTTGATCAAGTTCGTGCTCCTCCGTACGACATCGCTTTACTCCCTGAAAACACAAACGTGAGCTAGCCGACAGATGTGTGCCGGATACCTCTCTGATGCCGAAGTCAGCAAAAATAGACAAATAGACAAAGTTCTGTGTAATCGAGAATCAAAGTTGTGTTTCCTCCCCATAGGTGATGTTATGAGCTTTTATAGGTTCCGCGTGGCACAATCCAAGTAGGACTCTTACTCCTCCATATAGAGTCCTCTTAGGAATCACATTCCTAAAAGATAACGCTTATCCTTCAACACCCCCCTCACTACTTAAACCAAGTGAGATGGTTTTACCACGGTTGGATGTCAATACGACCGAACTAACATGATCATGCTAAAGCCGCAGACTAGACCGAGCTCCAGCTAGCTTGATTCTTCCTTTCACTGCGTGTATCTTGGTTTGACATACTCCAACTGTGGTGTTTACTTACTACCGTGCTAACCATAGTAAACCCCTGACCAAGCTAATGATAGCTAGGTCCACCGCAAGAAGCCCAAATACCTTGATTCTGAATACCATGACCGAGATAACTACCTTTACTCCGTCTGGTGACTTTAATCACACTTGGACCGTGGTAACACTTGCCAATCCCTTTTCATACTTGGACCGAACTAACTATGGCGCGCTAAGACCGCACTAACCAAAGCGAGGTCCACCATGAGAAGCCATCATACCTTGGCTCCAAATACTACGACCAAGCTAACTATAGCGTGCTACAACCGCGGTGATCGTCATTACACTTGGACTGAGCTAACTATCTCCACTCCGACCGTTGTGACCGTCATTACACTTGGACCTAGCTAACACTTGCGATCCACTTGCTAAGCTCTTTTTACCGCGGCTGACACCTTTACCTCGGCTGACACCTTTATCTCGGCTGACCCTTTACCTCGGCTGATATCTTTACCTCAGCTAACATTGCGGTCAATCAAGTTACTTCGGCTCTTCTCTCCGTTTGACTACCTTGCTTGGTAGCTCGGCCATAGCGTTGACCGCCACTAGGAAGTAGCTAAGTCCCGTGGCTAGGTCCCGTGGCTAGGTCTCATAGCTAGGCCGCGTAGCTAAGTCCAATAACTTGGTCCCGTAGCTAGGTCTTCTAGCTCGGTCTCGTAGCTAGGTCCTGTAGCTAGGTCCAACAGCTTGGTTCTGTAGCTAGGTCCTATAGCTAGATCTCGTAGCTAGGTGCCGTAGATAGGTCCTATAAACATCTTGACCGCCACTCCACCTAGCTCGGCCCAATTTGGCTACACAAATTACCCTCTCAATTGCCCCTTAATTCCATCTGCGTAGCATGATTTGGGATTACCTGTTAACAGCCGAGCTAGAAACTTCAGCCTTTCAACCGAGAAATAACTTGGGGCGAAACCAACTCCCTAACTTAGTCAAAACCGAACTAAGAATGCCGCACCATAAGCATCAACTGGGCTACAAACCCCTCGTTCCACTTAGCCGAGCGAGGACTCCATTTATTTCGCCTTTGTTTTTTTTAGCACGGTCCAACGATCCGTGCTTAATATTTTTCCTTTTCACTTTGCAGACTGACTAGGTTGGCCAGGCACACCTTTGCACGCTCAACCGTGATACTATATATTGCAATGTGAGGCTGCTAAAGACCTCTTCTTTAAGTGTGGATGGAAAGCAGCTGTGGCACAACTCGGTCATAGCCAAGAGACCGAGGTCTTCCTAAACCCTCCTCCATATTTTATACCGAGCTCAATGGTGGATTATGCAAATGCCATTCAGTAAAAATTTCTTCAAGCTGAGGAGGAAGATGATGCATCCCAAGAGCCTGATAACAACGCCTAGCTCGGTCGCCAGTCCATCTCTTCAACTCCAGTGGTCTCCATCCCACATTTGCCTGTTGTGTCTGATGCGGTGCCTTCGACCGAGCTCAACCAAAGTGTGCTTGCCATAACCGAGCTACCTTTAGGTGAAGCCAGGGTTGAATTGGACGTCGATTTAGATGACCTGCTTGCATGACCATGTACTTTCTTTTCTTTGGATGCTAACTTTGGAAGCTTTTGTAACCGGGCTATGGCCCCTCCTTTTGTAATGCACTTTTGGAATGAAATCTTCAGTTTGGAATGAAATCTTCAATTTTCTCATCTTTCTGTTCGTTTTATACCTGCATCCATTATTCAACTATAACTTGTATGAAGTATAACAATTTCTTTCCGAGATACCAATCGCGATCTCAACCTTGCAATCTACTTATACCTGCCAACCACTCTTTAGCCTAGATCCTTATCTCGGCTGAAGAGTACCAAAAGTTGGCTATTCTAGCCAACCACTCTTCAGCCTAGATCCTTATCTCGGCTTAGGAGAGCTAAATGTTGGTTATTCCGGTCAACATAGAGCTAAGCGTTTGGTTATTCCTGCCAAACTTCTTTGTTGCCCCCTAAGTCGGACAAAGACCTGTTGGTCAAACCTACCAACTTCCTGCGGCCTAGATATCCTTATCTCGGCTTAGGAGAGCTAAATGTTGGTTATTCCAGCCAACATAGAGCTAAGCGTTTGGTTATTCCTGCCAAACTTCTTGATTGCCCCCCAAGTCGGGCAAAGACTTGTTAGTTAAACCTGCCAACTTCCTGCAGCCTAGATATCCTTATCTCGGCTTAGGAGAGCTAAATATTGGTTATTCCGGCCAACATAAAGCTAAGCGTTTGGTTATTCCTGCCAAACTTCTTGATTGCCCCCCAAGTCGGGCAAAGACTTGTTAGTTAAACCTGCCAACTTCCTGCAACCTAGATATCCTTATCTCGGCTTAGGAGAGGTAAGTGTTGGTTTTTCCAGCCAACTCTGTTTTTAATGCCCCTAGCTCGCTAAAACAACTTTTACAAAAGAAAACAATCTATGCTAAAAAGGAAACTACTTGTTTTATTGAGGAAAAGAAAAATTACAAGTACTCTATAGGAAAGCTAAAATAAAATAACTTGAGATTGGCAGTGTTCCATGGCCTGGGGATAACTTTGCTATTTCCATCTTCCAAGTGGTATGCCCCTTTTCCTGCTAATCAACCACTTCGTATGGTCCTTCCCATTTGGGCCCTAGTCTTGCCATCTCCGGGTACCAAAGTATTTCCCATTACTTTGCGCAGCACCCAATCTCCAATCTTAAATTGCCTTTTATTCAGCTGCCTTGCCAACATCTGTGAACAGCTCCTTGCTCTCGAGTTCTTCCACCAGCTGTACATATCCTTTGGCAGCGCGACTGCCATTTGCTGTGACGAAGCATTGTTTGGACATAATTTGGTCTCCAAAGACCCCTTCAATTACCCCGGCTTCGTTGGGAAACCGCAATACTTGATGGTAGGTTGAAGCTACCGATCGCATGGCGTGCAACCATGTCCTTCCCAATATTATGTTGTAAGAGGAAGGAACTTTCAATACCCAGAATTCCACTTGTTTTGTCATAGTTCCTGCCTTGACTGGGAGGATTATCTTGCCCACTGGCCACTCTGGCATTGAGTTGAATCCGATCAGGGGAGATGTTGCAGGTGCCAAGTCTTTGTCCTCCAATTTCAATTGTTTGAAGGTTTCGTAATACATTATCTCACATGAGCTTCCTTGGTCGATCAAAATCCGTTTGATGTCAAAATTCTTGACGCGTAGAGTGATGACCAGTGCATCATTGTGAGGGCAGTATATCCTTGCTAAGTCTTTGTCCGAAAAAGATATGACATTTGTGGGTTTTGTTCTCCCATTTTCGATGGTAGGTTGTGCACTTAGTACCTCCCTTAAGTGCTCAGCCTTTTTGATCATCCCCCTGAGCTCACATATTCGCTCAGGTTCGAATACTCCATGTATTACGTTTATTACGCCTTGAGGTGGAGCGTCGACCGGCATCCCGTTTGGGTTGTTGTGGTTCTGGGGGGCTAGTTGTGTCCCTCCTTCTATGTACTGGTCCACGTGCCCAGCTGCCACTAACTCCTCCAAATGTTGCCTTAATGGTGTGCAATTTTCAGTGTGGTGCCCCTTTTCATCATGAAAGGTTCACCGAGACCTCTCGTCATAGTCTCTTTGCACTTCTCCCAGTTTAGCAGGCCATCGGACGAAAGGTTCATTGCAAATCTCACTGAGAATCCGATAGATCGGTTTTTTGAACACCGTGGTAATGGCAGTGCGGACTCCTAACCTCTTTTTGTCTTGGTCCTCTCTGTTGTCCCGCCTGCCTCGCCCATTTCTGCTTGGATGTTCTACCACGTTGACTTTTGTCGTAGTCTTTTTATCTGGTATTGCGGTTGTGCCAAATTTTGCTTTAGCTCGGTTGCCATCTTCCTCCACGCGAATATGTTGGTGTACTCTCTCCATCAAGGCTTCCATCGTATGGGGTGGCGTCATGGTGATTGAGTCCCTCAACTTGTTTCCGACTGGAACACCTCTTTTGTATTGTGCGATGGCGAGATTGGTGGGGCAATCCCCAATCTGGTTGAAGGTCTCCCAGTAGCGACTATTGTAGAATCTTAACGTCTCCTTGTCACCCATGTCAATTGACAGAAGTTGGTCGACCTCCACTGGAGTTTTGGTGTTTGTTCTGAACCTTGTTACGAACGCCTCTGCCAACTGTGCCCAGAAGGCGATGCTGCCTTCTGGTAGCCTTTCGAACCAGGTTAAACCTAGGTCACCAAGGCTAGATGGGAATAGGATACACATTAAAGCTTCGTTTCACCGGTATACAACCATAACCTGGCGAAAGTGGCTTAGGTGCATGTAAGTGTCTGTCTTCCCTTCGTACGTGGTAAATTTAGGTTGGATGAAGCCTGAGGGTAATGGTGTGTTCTCAATCGCCAGAATGAACGGCGAACTATGTAGTCTTGCCAACGCTTTATCTGTTGGTTCGTAGGCAATGTGCGGTATTGGCATTCCAACCTCGACGCTTCCATGCGTCCGAGGAGCCAACCGTTGAAGGGCTGAAACTCTGGGCGGGCCGCGTGCCCTGGCGTCCTCCTTCTGTCGCGCCCTTTCTTCAAGCACAGTCCGTAAGTCGGACGATCTAGGCAACTCCGTTTGCCTGGATGATGTCTGGTGCGTATGTGAGGGTCGATGGGTACTTCCCTCAGTGTAAGACCTCAATGATTTCGTTCTCTCAGACCTTGAGTAACGAGTTCTGGAGGTCCTTGATTGAGTGTCGCCTGTCCTGAGGCTTTTACTCTCTGCTTGCGATGGCGTGGTATGCCTACCACGATCTTCTAAGTGGCGAGGAGGCGTATTGCCTTTGCGCCCCTCTCCTGTCGCCACCCCTTTTCCCTTGATCTGGCGCTTCATGGCCTCCATGTCCGCCGCCATCTTCCTTATTAGTTCATCTTGCTCTTTTACACGATCCTCCAGAGCTTGAGGGTCGATTCTTCGCCTATGCCTTTCAGGACTTTGTGAGCGAGAGCGACGGGGGCTGTTGTTCCGCTTCCCCCTTGCATCCCTCCGGGGATTCTGTCGCTGGGGCTCTAAGTCTGCCATGGGAGGGATAGAGGGCAATCCTTCGCGCCTCCCACCCCCCTCTGGGATTTGTCCATCAATGGCGGACTGCGGCAAATCTTCGTTGTGCGCCATTCAATTAGCGATGGAAACTTGATCAAGAGGTTTTGTTCCTTGTCTGGTATTCCCACAGACGGCGCCAATTGCACGGGAAAGAAATAAACCTTCGCGTATAATCCTGTTGATCAAATTCGTGCTCCTCCGTACGACGTCGCTTTACTCCCTGAAAACACAAACGTGAGCTAGCCGGCGGGTGTGTGCCGGATACCTCTCCGATGCCTAAGTCAGCAAAAATAGACAAATAGACAAAGCTCTGTGTATTTGAGAATCAAAGTTGTGTTTCCTCTCCATAGGTGTTGTTTTGAGCTTTTATAGGTTCCGCATCGCACAATCCAAGCAGGACTCTTACTCTTCCATATAGAGTCCTCCTAGGAATCACATTCCTGAAAGACAATACTTATCCTTCAACACCCTCTCACTGCTTAAACCAAGTGAGATGGTTTTACCACGGTTGGATGTCAATACGACCGAGCTAACATGACCATGCTAAAGCCTCAGACTAGACCGAGCTCCAACTAGCTTGGTTCTTCCTTTCACTGCGTGTACCTCGGTTTGACATACTCCAACTGTGGTGTTTACTTACTACCGTGCTAACCATAGTAAACCCCCGACCAAGCTAACGATAGCTAGGTCCACCGCAAGAAGCCCAAATACCTTGGTTCTGAATACCATGACCGAGATAACTACCTTTACTCCGTCTAATGACTTTAATCACACTTGGACCGTGGTAACACTTGCTAATCCCTTTTCATATTTGGACCGAACTAACTATGGCGCGTTAAGACCACACTAACCAAAGCGAGGTCCACCATGAGAAGCCATCATACCTTAGCTCCAAATACTACGACCAAGCTAACTATGGCGCGTTACGACCGCGGTGACCGTCATTACACTTAGACCGAGCTAACTATCTCCACTCCGACCGTGGTGAACGTTATTACACTTGGACCGAGCTAACACTTGCGATCCACTTGCTAAGCTCTTTTTACAGCGACTGACACCTTTACCTCGGCTGACCCTTTACCTCGGCTGATATCTTTACCTCGGCTAACATTGCGGTCATTCAAGTTACTTCGACTCTTCTCTCAGTTTGACTACCTTGCTTGGTAGCTCGGCCATAGCGTTGACCGCCACTAGGAAGTAGCTAAGTCCCGTAGCTAGGCCGCGTAGCTAAGTCCAATAACTTGGTCCCGTAGCTAGGTCTTGTAGCTCGGTCTCGTAGCTAGGTCCTGTAGCTAGATCTAATAACTTGGTCCCATAGATAGGTCTTGTAGCTTGGTCTCGTAACTAGGTCCTGTAGCTAAGTCCAACAGCTTGGTTCTGTAGCTAGGTCCTATAGCTAGGTCCGACAAACATCTTTGACCGCCACTCCAACCTAGCTCGGCCCAATTTGGCTACACAAATTACCCTCTCAATAT